GGCTTATTTGAAGAACCATTCGAATGAACAATTTTTATCAATATGGAGAAGATGGATTGTTTATATTCAAAAGAAACACAGAGTGGTAGAATATAATTTAGGTTTCTAGATTTTTTTTAAGTTTGTTTACTCTTTCTATCCTTTCTTGTAGATTAAGATACTTTGTGGAGTTAGAGATATTAGTATTTGTTTACTTTTATATGAATATTATCCTGGGATTAGGTTTGGGAAGTCGGGGGGGGGGGTTTGATTGGTTATTGTGTTTACTTATGATTGTTTTTTATGATGGAAAAAAATAAATAAAATTTCTTATAAATAAATAAATAAATAAATAAGCATGCCATCCATAATATAAATCCCAACCCTCAAGTATCAAAATATCTCTATTAGTTAAATTAATCCAATCACTAATCCAGGTTAATACCACTGCTTTATAATATAATTTTAAATTAGGTGCTTTAAGTCCCCCTCTTTCCCGTGCATCTTGCATGATTTTAAATTTTACCCTAGGTTTTTTCCCCTGCCATATGAACCTATTAATACTTCTTTGCCATTCTTCCAAATTTGAATCCTTTTTTAAAATAGGTATCATCTGAAACAAGAAAAGAAACTTGGGGAGAACATTCATTTTTATCACTGCAATTCTTCCCAATAATGATAGCTGTAATTTCTTCCACTCCATCAAATCCTTTTGAACTTTTTTCCATAACTTATCATAATTATTTGTATACAATTTAGCATTAGAAGCAGTAATATCAACACCCAAATATTTCACTTTTTTTACTATTTCTTACATTCCTGCTAATATAACCAAACATTTATGCACTTGGGAATCAAGTAAAAGACTCAGTTTGGCTTTGTACCAAACGAAGTTTTCCACTCTTGGATGACTCATTAAGTCTAAATATTTATCTTTAGTTGTATCGCATTGTCCCATTCTCTGAGTCATAAATTCCTGTGGATCAGTGTACTTCAAGAAATAAATCTTCTTTTGAGAAGCTACCAGAAGAATCCAGGTTCCTATGAGGACAAGTCACCAAGCCAAAATACAAAGAATGAGGAAACAAGCCCACATGAAAGCATAGTCAGTGTGAAAAACAAGACAAAACCACTGAGCAAAT